GTGTCGGATTATTATCTGCATAAATGTATCGCAATTCTTGATGATATACATCAATGATGCGAAATGAATTGTTATCACGCCTACAAGTGAAATTGTATGTTTCTCGTAACGGTTCGTCGCTCGTTTATATACGCACATAGCAAGTAATTATATAAAGTACATTAGATGTTATTATGTTTACGAGACTTCGCTATTCACCATTTGCAATAAATGCGGTATTCGTATTCATGGTCACGAACCAGTAACTGTGATTCCGCAATCGTTTTTTTGGGAAACGAATGCCCATTCATTCTATACCTCTAAAAATATCTGTACGATTACAAAATTGTTTCAATCTATAATTAGAAATTATTGAAAGAAAATTGAAAAAGAGGAGAAACAGAAATGCAAAAGAAATAGGAAATATAAATATCTTTAAATAAACTTTGTTTCTCTTTTTCAAAAATCAATATAATAAATGTGTTTTTTTGCAGATACTCGAAAGTATGATGCGAGTATGGTTGTTGTTGGGTGTTCTGGCGTTGGCTAGTGGCCAGATTGTTTACCCGGGTCAATACAACATAATGACGCCTAACTTTGGTCGTGCCTCGGCATTATCTGCTAATTATCAAGCGGACAGCAGTAGTCAAGCCATCCAAATCAATCAACAATTCAATCCAGGATCCGCTGTTGAATCAAAGCCGGTAGAAGGGCAATTTTATCCTACGACTACACACTTACCTTTGTACTCGTCAGCAAATACTGTGCTGACAGCCAGCCCGCAATCGACGTCGGAAGCTTGGCGCAATCATGTAAATTATTGCTATTTGCACACAGCATCATGATCATTAAATCTTTCATGTATTCTTCTAAACTCTTTGTATCTCATATTTCCTTGGGTTATCATATGGTTGGATTTAAGTCTTCTAAAAATATTAATGAATCAAAGAAATGATATTTGTTGTCAAATAATCATTTCATTAAAACTATTGATTTCAGGTAAACAATATTATATATAAGGGAATCACAAAATTTGCTCTGGATTTGGATAGAGCGATTAATAAAGCCTTAAGTATGACAAATAATAGTCGCGAGAACGTGATCTTCTCTCCGCTCAGCGTTTCTGTCGCATTGTCATTAGTCCTATTGGGTTCCGCTGGCAAGACCTTCGACGAAGTTACCCGGATACTCGGCTTAGAGACTGGTATCGATATATCCCAACATTCCGAAATTGTTCATCAAATGTTTGGTCAGCTCCTGGGTATCTTGAATCATAGGGTTGAGAATAGCGACATGCCGCACGTGAATTCTGCCAGTGGTATCTTCGTCCAGGTAAATTTTAATATTCTGATTATTTTTATTATAGAATAATGAATTTGCATCTAATTGTAAGCGCAACAAAATGTCGAAGCTGATTAAATAAAGTCTGTAATAAAGAATTCTTCTTCACGAAAGAATATATCGAAGTATTAACGATCTTTAAGTTATATTAAATAATTAAAGTTAAATTATTAAAAATGAAATTCGCGGATTGAACTTGAAGAACGCAAATAAATAAAAATATTTTTCTTTATTTCAATACAAAATGAAAGTTTCTTTTTAATATACTTTATGAATTTTTAATTCTTATTCTAGCAAGGATATCCGATTCGACCAGAATTCCGCGCGATCAGCGAGAATGTATATAATAGCGAAGTGATAAATTTAGATTTTCGTACAAAAGCCAGAGAAGCGGGAGATATAATTAATGCATGGGTGAAGAAAAGAACAATGGACAAAATTGATAGTATATTGACCGAACCGCCACGTCCAATGACAAATGTAATTCTTTTATCAGCGTTGTATTTCAAAGGAGAATGGAATCAACATTTCTTGGAAGGTATGACACGGAGGTACGTTTTGCTATATATTTATTTAGTCCGAATAACAAAAAAAAAACGTCTTTATTTTTATACTTTTGATAATTGAAAAATTTTTTTATTGCAGGAGACCATTCTTCATCGAGCCGAATAATACAGTCGAAGTAGATATGATGTATAACGGTGGTAATTTTCCCTTCTACGAGGACAAATCGTTGGGCGTTAAAATAGTGGCTCTGCCTTACAAAGGTTTAGAGGTAAACAAAAATATTAATTGTATTGTTATTCTTTAATTTAATAATGAGATAAAGTTTAAATTTACAATATCTCTCAAAATCTTTCAAATATTAAATTCCTAGACTGTTTTCTTTAATATTATTATTTACGCGTTAATGAATATAAATATTTCGCTTCTGAAAATTTCCTCTTTTAAGTAATAATTCATATGAAAATTTGTTCCTTTTATTTCCAGATGTCTATGTATGTACTTTTGCCGAAAGCTGAAGGACTCGACGCATTAAAGAATTTCCAGAATCAGTTGACACCCGATACTATTGAGTACCTAATAAACAGTACGAAGAACGAGACATGTGTCATCGGTTTTCCCCGTATGAAACTTTCTAGCAAATTGAATTTGAACAATGTGCTTAAAAATCTAGGCTTGCATTCATTGTTCAGTTCGAAAACTGCGGATTTAAGCATCTTGTCAAACGGATACGGTCAAGCGCCACAAGCAGCAGCAATTCCACAAGTAGAAGCTATGCCGATTCCACAACCATTTGCCACATCGATTCCGCAAGGACAAGCTGTACTAGATCCACAATCATATGTTGCGTCGATTCCCCAAGGACAGGCTGCGCCAGTTCCACAACCATTTGCTACATCGATTCCACAAGCGTCATCGCAAATGCCACGGCAAATTCCTTCCGAGCAATCGCTGAATACCAAGACTGATCAGATTTTAATTTTCTCGCGATTTGGGAATAATAACAGTCAGAATGCAAAAAGGAATTACTTCGCGTACGACGATAAGAAACGCGGTGTCAGCGTAGAACAGTGGAACTCGGGCTTCAGTATCCAAAAGATTGGTAGAACACGTCGCGACGCTGAGAATGTAAGACGACGTAATAACACGAAGTCATCCCATGCGACGTACGCCGTGGAGAACGAAGATCTTAAGAAAGTCGCGTCAATGGTTGACGATGTAAATACGAAATACGTGAGCTTGAAGGAGAACAGACATCGCTTTGAAAATGTCGAAAAGAAAAGCAGAAGGAGACGGCAAAGTCGACCCATAGACCAGAACTTCTTGAGATTCATGCGGACTCAAAATTTCCCTTCTTACGGTCTAGATATTTTGCGAAACAGCGCGAATCTTGTAAATCCAGGCCTATATGCTGACGAGGTTCTACATAAAGTGGAGATGGATATAACGGAGAAGGGGACGGAAGCTGCTGCGACGACTGCGGTGGTTCTACGCCGAGATGGTAATCAGAAGAAGTTGATTGCCAACCGGCCTTTCATGTTTTTCATCAGGCACGATCCCACGAAGCTCATCCTTTTCTGGGGAACGGTGAACAAGCCGACTCCACACTACGTCGTCGTTAGATGAAATGCACTATGAACGTTTCCCTTAGACATATCAGAATTTGCTTTCCACGCAAATAATTCCTACTTATTTTTTTTTATATATTTATATATTCGTCCTTAATTCAAACAAATGCGGTTATTTTATATATGCCTTTTTTAAATAGATTTTGCATTGCTGTAACGCCATTTCCATGCAACATATTACGGTCACTGAGTACTGCATTGCAATATATTTGTAACACGTGTGCGTTGAAGCTTATTTCGCGTAGTATGTTTACTGTAAGTTAAAACGATATTATAATTATATTATTTAAGTATAAATAAACATAATATTGCATTTTTAATGTAACGACTATTGAAACACGATTTATGCAAGGAGATAAATGACAATGACTTGAAATTTACAAAATTATGGATAGGTAAATCTCCAATGCACAATGACACTACAATTGATTTAATAGAATTGCTGTTGATGCGTACGTTTTAAGTTTTTAATACTCCGAATTTAGTTTTCGAGCCATACATCTTGCTTGTAGTAATAAATAATGTTCCTTCAAATTTTTGAGAATAAATATCGATAATACACGAAATCAATAAAATCTTTCTTTCTTTCATATTTCTTTCTTTCACATTTCTATATTATAGATATTAATTTAAATACTTAATTATAAAAATAAAAATAATTGTAATTTAACTAACACAATTTTCTTTAATATAATTCTCATTGTGATTACATTTTACCAATGAAAAAAATTAAAATTAGCAAATAGTGGCTTCTATTTTACTTATAGCAACTTTAATTAAATATCTATTGATTTGAACATTGCAACAAGAATTGAAATAATTGCATATAATCACGTAATTAAAAATATATTAAGACATATATATATAATTATATATCGCGATTGTCAAACGACATAATCGAAAACTCTCAATTATATTTACACTCTAATCTGGATTAGATAAACTTTGCAATAATCTACAGAGTGTGCAAAACATTTAAAATTAACACATAGGACAACTATAAGACATGCTTAAATAACTTAAAGATTTTTCGTAAAGATATCTTTTAAAGATATCTTAAAGTTGTTTTCTTAATGTCGATTTTAGACGTTCTACTTATTGGATAGAATTTACTCTAAAATTCAAATAATCATCTATAGACTAAATTGTAAACTCGAAATCGCTTGTTTCTTTAACATTATTTTATTGAACGAGCTTTTAACAGACTTGTAAAGTTTTTGAACGATAATCACGTAACATTCGAAATCGAACAAATCATATTGTTACTCAAAGATATCAAAATAATCATGCTGATCTATCGTCGATTTTGCCAAACGCACCTGATTGTGACAATAAATTTCATAATCAGATGCATAAATCTTGAGACTCGTTTAAATAAACTAAAATATTTCGCACTCATTCGAAACACGTGCGCAAGACTAGCACGTATATCATTCGAAATTAATTCGTTAACGATATTGTTGTTTAGAAATCGACAGTCGTGTCCTAGCTATACATAGATCATTGTGTGTATTGTCGTCGTCGTCGTCGCGTCGTGCCGGTGTGAAAATAAGGGACCCCGACCAACGGATCCGAATATCTCGCGATTTTCTATCGCATTGTAATTAAATCCACCGTGCCATTGTCGCATCGCGTTAATTACCACAAGATTATAATTATTTGCTTTATTTATGTGATAACCCTATTATCTATCCAAATCGACGAACATGTCCGATAAAATGCAGAACATAAAGGACGATGGAGACAAGCAAAACATAAATAAATCTATAAATAATACAAGTTACCAATTCCATGGAATGGAATTACTTCCATATTCACCCGCGCTTACATCACCGTTTAATTACATGCCTGTAGTTACAAGTAACTTTCAACCACCACTTCAACCATTCTTCCAACTTATACGTAAGTACATTAAGCTCTATCATAATCATTTATTATGATTGTTCAGTTATTCTATGCAACAATCGCATTTTAATTCAAAATAAGAAATTTGTTTTTTAAAATGAAATGGAAGTCTCTTAATTGAAAGTCTCGAAATCATTAAAAAAAATTTTTGTGAAGTTTCGAGATCATTTTTTAATTTTTCTATGATCTTCCATTTTGATTTTCTCCAATCAGGATTCAAAATAAATCGCTAAATATAAACGGAATTACGATTATATCAAACCTCATTCCTTTTGCATATTTGACGTTTGTTTAGAAAAAAAATCCAGAACTTTAATTTTGCATAAATATGGCATTTACAAATGTACTCAGTAAACGAGAATGGATTAAAATGAATTGAAATTTTTTTCTACCCGAATGCGTATGTTAAAAATAACGAATCCTTTTTTTTGGATTTAATTAGATTCAATTGGATTTAATTAGATTCAATTGGATGCAATTGGATTGAAAAATTGCATTTCCTATTCAAAATTTTCAATTGAACAGTGTTCACAATGTGTGTGTTGTGCACAGAAAAAGCTAATATTATTTTTAGATTGAAAGACATAGAGATATACTCCATGCAATTTCTATAAATGAATAAAAATGCATTCAGGAAGGATTCATTTTAACAGTCGTGAATCAATATTTCTGAAAATCTGAATCCATTTCAATTCATTTCAATCCATTCTCGTTTGCTGGATAATTAGTGGTTCATATAATGCTGGTTATAGTTGATGGCTTTTACAGTTTTTGTAGATTCTCAATAAAATATCTCCAATATTATATACTCATTCATTGAACGACTTTATTTCTATTAATGTAGATTGATTTTAATCTTTTTTTAATTTACTTTTTTCTAAGAATCAATTTTAAGACTAGATGTTTATTTCAAATTCTTAGAACCAGAAAAAAAGTAAATTAAACCGACATTAAAATTTAATTCTAGTGGTAGAAATAGATAAGTAGCAATTGAATATAATTGGTTGGATTCGAAGGTAACAACCAATCATATTTGATTGTCGTTTAGCCACTCGCGAGTAAAGTGTAAATGGTGTAGTATCGACTGTACCACAAGTGCTAATGCCGCCATGAGCTGCTACCGACAGAATGCAACACATAACGACATAACCTAGAACTTGCTTGCGTTTATCTTTTTTTTTCTCGAGAGCTGTGATATAAATTGAGAAAAATTCGGCAAATCTGGAAACACGGTAGTGTCTTGGCGCTAAGATTGTATTGACTTAGCAAATCAGCGGAATATACTGAGAGACGCATCGATGCCGAAATACTATTGTGACTATTGCGATACTTATTTGACACATGATTCACCGAGTGTGCGGAAGACCCATTGCCAGGGTCGCAAGCACAAAGACAACGTCAAGTATTTCTATCAGAAATGGATGGAGGAGCAGGCCCAGCATTTAATCGACGCAACAACGGCTGCTTTCAAGGCCGGTAAGATTGCCTCCAACCCTTTCGCAGCCAACAAAGGTGCGGCAATACCACCGCCACCGAACCTCGGCTCCAATCTTGGCTCGAGATCCGGAGTACCACCTCAGGGACCCCCGGGAATGATGCCACCACCGGGTATGCATCCAGCTGGTCCGATGGGTCCAGGAGGCCCAATGATGATGGGACCACATGGACCAATGCCACCTCCTATGATGGGCATGAGACCACCTATGATGGGACCGATGGGGCCGATGGGTCCTATGATGGGTCCTATAGGCCCTATGGGACACATGAGACCACCAATGAATGGACCACCACCTCCAATGGTTGGTCCACCACCAATGAAAAAATAACATTTAGACTAAGGACTTTTATTTCTCGTTTGTTGTATTTCTCGGATATAACTGAAGCAAAACCAAACTTTGTTGTGGATGTGCTTATTAGAGTGTCATTAAGAATAATTACATACATTATATATTTAAGAATTGTACAAACTGTAGAAGTAATGATTAGGAACTTTCTACAATTTTCTTTGATTTGTATCTAAATGATCTATAATTTTTTTTTAGTAAATAACAGTAATATAACAGTTTTCATGTAGTATATTTTATTTTACGCCTATTATTTAATATTGAGTTATAAGTAATTAAAAAAGTATGTTCTTAAGTATCAAATACAATATATAATTTAAATTTTAAAAAACTGTTTTAAATTTTATTTTTAAATGTAATTTTAAATTTTATTCATATTCTCAAAGTGACGATGTAAATATATAATAGTATAACATTTAATAACCGAATTAAAAACATTATAATATTGAAATTAATTGTATTGATATATATATAGAATTTTTAAAATACGAGACAAGTTTTTTTGTATTTAATATTAATTATTTAACTTGTAACAAAAGTAAAATGTTACAAAATAAATATTTTAAGGTAATGTTCATTATTATAATAATGAATATAATTAAATAAATAAACTGGCAGAATTCTTCAATAACTTGTAAAAAGATACAGAATTATGAAAAATAATTTTTATTTTATAATTATTATAAAATTATAATATATAAGCCCATATAATATACTAAAATGTTATTCTAATTACAATTATCAGGACAGAGCAAGGAATGTAAAGATAATGGCAAGATATATTTAAAGTTTTATTATAATACACATATTTTATTTTCTTTCAAATATACTTATTTTGAGTAATTCAAAATATCATTTTTCATAACTAAATATACACAATGGGTACTTTTCAATTATTTAACATATCTTGACATAAACTTGCCTAGAAATGCACAAAATGTAGCAATGTGCACGATTCAATTGATACAGAAGTTGTACAGTTTAGGATAGTTAGATTAACTGTAGCTTTTTTCATTTGTATTGAATTTAAGAAAGTACAAATATCAGCCATCCAATGTCTTCCAATCTCATTTATAATCATCGCGATTAGTAATATGTAATTGTCTAGAAAACACAAGTTTACATCGTCATTAGTAGTCTTTGGGCTAAATATGTATATGAGTATGTATAATTTGGATGATTACGGCAATTGAAACACGATTATCGCCGCGTGTCTAGTGATTTTACAATTGGAAAGCACCCATTATCTTCTCAATAATTTCATATATTATACGGATGCATGTCAGATAATGATACCATCGTATCACTGAACGCGTAATTAATTTTTACAAACTATTTCTTCTTTAAAAAATTGCAAAAATTAGTAACGGCCTTTTGATGATTCTGCTCTATACGAATCAATTTATGCAATGACCGGAGATGCTTAGCTTTAATTGTCCGCTTGTTAACTTGTCTTTGTATTTCATCTGCTGCCTTCATCATATGTGGTACTTTAAGAGCACGAGCTGTTTTTATAATATTTAACGCGGCATCATATATATTTTGGCTTTTTAGCATTTCATTCAATTTGAAATAATTTAATTTTTTCTTCTCCTTTTTCGATAAATATGGTGTATTATTTACGTTTATATTCGGTTTATTTTTCGATACATTGGAGTCAACCTTTTCTTCGCTTGTTGATAATTGAGTGAAATCTTCATTTGGTTCAAGTTCTTTTGATTTAACCGGCGGCATTATTTGTGCAGTATTTAATGGTATAATCTCAGAAATCTGCGCTAGAGGATTTTCTATTGTTATTGTTATGTCATCGTAATTGCAATTGGTTAGTTTGTTTATCTCAAGCGAAATATTATTCACATTTGGTTCGTCACTTAATATCTCGTTATTCTGTTGATCAATTACGAAGAAATTATCGGAGTTGATATTCGGCGATGTGCAAGGTGTCGCGGATAAGGTATCTGTAGAGGTACATATGAGGTTTTCTTGGTTTGCTGGTATGTGACATATTTCTGGCTCCTGTTGCTTTTCTGATACGTGGCATATTTCTAATTCCGGCTGCTGTGAATCTTTAAACTTTTTTTCTTCCAACTCGATGCGTTGTAACAACCCGTGTACATTCTCGGATGTGTGAGGTACAAACAGTTGATTATAAAGTAGATTAAGTCTAAGATAAGTTGCAGTATCCAGTTTTTCATTCGTTTGATAAAGTCCTGATTTGAATCTTCTCATTATGTCTTGAAATGCACGTACGTAAACATTCGGTTCAGGCTCGGTATTGGTAATCACAAGAAGTTTAGTTTGCAAACGAAATAAGTTTCGACGTAAGCGATTATACGATCCTCTGGCTTGTTTATTATGTCCATGCTGCTTGTAATGATTTTTCACTTTGATTTTTTCGGAGTTTATAGATGTTAAAATCAATCGCGGATGATCTAGTCCTCCTATATAGTGGATATAACGTCTGAAACGCATTTTATTCAGTTGTGCTTCTCTTGATTGCAGCACGTTCAACATCTTCATACAACTTACAGGTAGATCCACGTCTATCCCATAATCTTTTTCATCCTCTGGGAGATTAAGCCAATATTTCAACAAGTCATACAAAGGCTCTATGTAATCTTTCAATGCTATTAGTTGTAATGATAGAATTTTGCGATGGATATAGCCTATATTCACTTCAAATTTTATGTTCACTTTCGCTAGCAATACTGTCAAAAAATTCGGAGCAGTCTGATGCTCTACTAAATTCCTTACCATAGTAAAATCTTTTTTTGTATGTGAGAAGAATGTATTAAGAGTAATCAAGACCATCCGTGCATTTTTGTCATTTTTATTGGAAAAAATACCATAAGAATATATTAGCTTGGAAAATTTTATATAATCCACTTTGGTTGGTTTGAAATTTGTTTTTACTGTGGGCCAAATAAAAGGAGTTTGTGAGATATGCTCAACTTCTTGTGAAATTGGTGAAATATAGAAATTAATATTTGACAATGTGTCTACATTTACAGAAGATTCCACGTCTTCAGTAGTTATTGTTTGTTGTGTATCAATAGTATATTGTGGAATCGATGTTTCGTTTTCCATCGTCTCAGACAACGAGAGATCGAGCTCAGAATCAGGTCCAGGATAACTTGATATATGAGGATTTGATGAACGATATATGGGTCCATCTGTATAATTTGTGACGGCAGCTGGAGTGGGAAAATTCTCAGACCATCGATATTCCTTGCATGTAGATGATTCGTGGCCACGCTTAGTACAATTACAGCAGTATAACAATCTCGATGGTTTCATCACATTGCCCGGATCCTGCGGCATGCTACTCATGTCGGTCGTCTGATGATACCGTCGCCAAAGATCGGGACATTGATTTTGCTCGTGTCCTACTGAATCACACATAGTACAGTAAAGAACGCGACAATATTCACAAGTGTTACGAAATGTGTTCTGCGGCTTACCACATGTCAGACACATCTTCTGTGGACATCGAACCTCTACATGGCCTTTCGTGCCGCACATGTAACAAGATGGTGATCTAAATGGTGTTGGACAATCGTACCGCCGATGGCCATCCTGCTGACAGTTAGTGCATTTGACATTCCAGAATCTAAAACGTCTGCTAGGGGGACATGGCATTAAATCTTCATCCAGAATTGTCCACATTCGTGGATCCTTCGACATACTTTGTTGCAACTCTCCAATATCGAAGTTTTCTTGACCGCGACTCAAATTATAATAGTTTTTCATTTCTTCCGACATTGGCTCGAAAAACTCATTCGATATATTTCTTTTCTCCCCAGTACTGTTGGATTGCAACACAACATTTTGATTATTCTGCTGATTGATGCATTGTCGCTTCAGTTTATATTGATCATCAATCTCGTTGTTGCGTCTCTTTCGGTCAATTACTAGATTGTATGGCTCTATTGAGCTATCTGAGCTTTTGTTTTGCTCTAAATGCATAAAATATACATTATTACTTTTGTCAATATTTTGTTGCATTTGCAATTTTTTTCCTGTCACAGATATTTCTTGCTGAAGATTAGCATTTTTGTTATTTCCTTTTAACAGTAAAGTTTTTTTAGAGTTTTGACTTGTATTTTCTGTTGATTTACTTCGTTGTTTTACCTCTATGCTTTTAGATAACTGTTTAATTTCACTTATATTTTTAGCACCTCTTGGAATTGTTGTGCAATTCAACACAATATCCATGAAAATATCTTCCTGTGTATCCGTTGATGTTTGGATACTTTTACCAGAATTTACAGTATCCTTAGTATATGATCTAGAAGTAGTTTTGCTTTTGGAAGATGTATCTTGAGGATTACTCTGTAGAATTTCTAATTCGTAATTTTTTAATGGGGGTGCTCTTAAATATGTCTTTAATGAAGCACCATTCCAGTTTTTTAAAATCAAATCATTATCTATCCTAGAATTTGAACCATTTTCTTCATCAGAATCTTGCAAGTCTATAAGTGGTGGCTCTGGTTTCGGTGGAACAGGTACTTCAAATATGGATTCTTCAGAATCAGAATTATCTTCATCTTTATTTATTTGTTCAGCTAAAAACAAACGTACCTTTTGTTTTGTGTCTTTTGAAACAACATTATATTTTGAATGTTCTATATCATTGTCATTTTTATCAGGACTTTCTTTACGTGCAGTTTTTGCATGTTTGGAAGATTTGTGTTTCTTGGAAGAATTTTCTTTCTTCTCTTTTTCTTGTATGACTGAAGGATCTTCTGAATTCTTATTGCCATGTGCAGAATTCATTTCTCTACTCGACATAGTCTCAACTTGAGCAAATTCTGACTGATGTGTAGAGGGCATCTTCTGAGAATCTGCTGAACATTGTATACTTATATTATTATATATTGATATTTTTGTAGTGAAACTCTCTTTTGGAATATTCAAATCATGTTTTATCAACACTTTAGATTTATTTTTAATTTTATTAGATTTACCTCCAGTTGTCTTAGATATCGAAGGTTGTTCCAAATATTGTTCCTCTGATTTGTGTTGTATCTTTTTTAATTCAACATTCGTCTCAGTGGTCATGCTATCGAATTTAATTGTCCTCGAGCTATCCGTGGTTTCTGACTCACCCTCGATATTCGATTCGTAATAGATTTCTGCATACAGTCGAGCTTGCAATTCATTAAAATTATCGGTGTTATAATAATCTGTAACATAAAAAAATAATTATTCACATTGTCATCGCAAATAAATAATGTAACAAATCATAACTTTTAACAATTAAATTATGATGAGATTTTTAACAAATTTTTGTTAGTTATTCACCGTCGAATGAATTGTTCTTCTCAATGTTGTTTGACATGATGCCTGTGTGTGAGTGTTTCTTATATTAATCCTGAAATAATTAAAATTTTTGAATGTAAGCGACTGACGTGACGTGCCGTTGAAAAATAACAAAAAAATTTTCAGCGAACAAAGATGATACCCGCAAAAACTGTGCACGTGCTACAACGGGTAGGAATATATCTCTTATAATCTTTACGTTCTTTGGTCTTTCGTTATAACCTATTTACAATAAAGCGAGGCAACTGGAGGCAACATTTCCTGTGATATGGGTGTAGCAACTGACGTGATTAAAAATTCCTAAGATGCGTTCCACTTAACGCACTGAGCGCTCGCTGCTATTGATGTATTCTTCCAGATCTAAAATGCTAATTGGATGATCTAAAAGAATATACCAATAACAGCGAGCGCTCACTCAACTGTTGAGTCCGCTGAACGCAGCCAATCTGTACGCCCAGGACCTGCACGAAAAACTAAGGAAATTCCATATGTAACACATATTACAATATAATATTTCCCTAGTTTTTCGTATGCGATATTTTTCAAGAATAGGGACCCAGGGAGTCGATTCTGTATCTTCAAAGGTGAAAATTACAAAAGTGAGCAAATTTTTCTAGGTATTGACCAATAAAATTATCAGTATTCTAGTAAATTCGCTAACCTTTGTAATTTTCACCTCGTTTCAAAATACAGAATCAATCCTCAGATCCTCATACGGATAACAGCGCTTTGACACTGAACGTTAATTGGTGAAAAACGATGATAGGGATATTTTACCCTCAGTTTTTCACCAATCAATGCACAGTCGAGTATTCCCTTGTTACAGTCGAACAACAGGGGAATGCTCTACTGTAGTTGGTTGATTCTTACATGCTGATCTGGTTTAAACCCTCGGTGGAAACTAGGTCATTGATGCAATTGGGCTTAAGCCATCAAATAAAGTTTTAAGCATCTTAATACGGTCTTCTGATTGATTCACGACACATCTTAAGACAGTAAAATATAAGAATTGACTATAAATACTGGCCTGTGATTGTGACTTATGTTGTGTTAAGATTTAAGACGGTTTTAAATGTATAACACTAATTATGAATACTGGCCATAACAATGATAAATGGAATATCAAGTTTTGTTTAGAACAGCGTAATTAATATCATTTATCAAGGTGAGTTTATTATCAAGATGTATTAATTACATTCAATTTGCTTGAATTGAGCTTTTTAATATGCATCTTCAAATCATTTTATCTCTTAAAAATAATATAGAATAAATCCTCGTTTAAAAATAAATTAATTAATCACGCGTGTAACATAAGAACGTAGCTCTTATGTTGCATAAGTATGAAATAAAATTTCTTATTTTCTTTTAATATTAGAGTTACCGATTGATTTGCATACGTTTTATATAAATTCTCTAGATCTAGCTGCGCAAAATAGCATCGCAAAATCGTTTACAAAAATTTCTAACTGTATATTACTCGATAAATTAATTGTTGATTAATACTATCTTAGTCTTTTTTTGCATCTTATAGATAATTATGCGGACTCTACAGTATGGTCGCATTTTAAAGTCGAAACTCATTTTAAAGTCGAAAAAGCGGTCGCGATAGTCAATCAGAAGCCGTAACATTAACTAGGTTGCATTCAAAAACTCATTTAGGAACTTTGCACGGGTATATCATTTTATTTTTGTTGTCACCGAAACAAAAGTCAAACAAAGATAAAATGATACATGGGTGACCCGAGTAAAGTTCTTGAACGAGCTCTTATTGACTCTTCTCTGATTGACTCTTCTGATTGGCAAACTGTTCTTGTGGCTTTAAAATAAGTTTGCGACCAATTGTAAATTCCTGTGTAAAAATTAAATAATTTGTATGTGATTTATAAGAAATTATAAATAGTGTGATATATAATAAATAATGTGAATTATATTAAAATTAAAATTGAAAGGTTGTACAATAAAATAATAATTTTAATAACGTTAAATTTCAATTCTGTTTCGCGTAGTCACTCAATGTGTAATAAACCAACAAATGTCGCAACAAATGTAATATGAAGTAGTGCAGCAAAAAATCAAAGTTTGAAAAAGTTAAGCTCTTTGGTTTATCCTACATTTATTTAAAAAATTTTATTGACCTTAAACTTTGATCTCTTATTTATGCAGTTAATTAATTTAATCTATATCTTGCCTCGATAAAGCTAATTATTGATCCTTTGATATTTATTTTTGGAAAATCGGAATTTGAAACCATTTTGAAGAAATTTCGCCGACGAACAAATTGGATGAACGAACAGACGGATAGACAGATAAACAAACGGACAAATAGACGGATGGACGGACCAATATCTTGAAATTATGAAGTATATAATTTGTTACGTTGTATTATTTAATAATGCACGGAGAAAACAACTAGGTATTCAAAGAACATGAGATTTAATTAAGAAATTTTTTTTATTGTAGCGTTTCGTCCATTGAAATATTCTTTTTTGATTTTTTCGTGCATTTGTATTATGCAAGTCTATTTGAATAATGTCTTTCAATAATAAATGCTATTATAAATTTTATTTTTAAAGGAAACCCGATAAACATCGATGTACATCGACTACAGGATGAATATCATTTTGCGCATTCTATACAACAACGGAATATGTTGCTTGCGTATAAACCAAAGCCATCATTCATCAACATCACACCATCTCATTTGTTTCCATCTCTCTCGGTACCCATGATAGAACCTGCACCAGGACCATCAAGTAGTCAACTGCATAATTCACAGTTATTGGAAGTGGTTCAAGTTACAAAAAGCAATAAAAACAATTTTGAAAATGTTAAAAAGAATAAACCGAACTGGACGAAGAATAATAAGCTAAAACTGTTGAAGTTTGTAGCTAAACCTCACAATATCACAAGGAAACTCAATGTAGACGCTACAGGTAATGAAGATAAATAAAAATTGTAAAAAGCCGAAGTTAGAAAAATTAAAATCGAAAATCTCAAGGGAATCGAAATTTATGTAGAAGATAAGAGGTCGATATTCACAGTGTGTTCTTATTTTAAGTAATGTTTTAATTATGCTAATATACGGCTCTGTGATTAGCTATTATATAATATATTAAGACTGTACTTAAGACAGTTTTAAATGCAAGCTCAAGATTGCGTTAATTCAAGATCGAAAAAGATTTCGGTGCATAGTTTGTAGAATGAAATATTATAAAATATAAATTTGTTTAGAAATATTTAAGTAAGATCTGTTTTGACCGAATAAAGGATTTCTCTTATTTAATTAGATTTATCTCATCGATTCTTTATTGTATCATATTATTAAATATAAGAACCCACTATGAATATTGACCCTAATGAATTTGTTCACTTTTGTCATTTTCGTTTCGAAATACACAATAATTGACTCCGAGGTCTTATTATTGGTCGAATAAAATCTCTTAGAATTCCTAAGATATACCTAAAATAATCTTAAATAGAAGATTAAAGTGTAAATAACGCTCTAAGAAAATTCCGAGTTTGAAGTTGCGGTCGACGCTGACGCGCTTTAAGCGCTTGTAATTATCATTTTGTCTTTATCGTTCATTAGACGTAAAATAAAAATAAGAAATAAAAAGTGAAAAGCGTCCAAATCGACCGCAGCCAAAGTGTCGCGACAACTTCACACCGCTTCGACGCCCTTCCATAGATTTTGAATTAGTAACGAACGCGTCGCGACCGATATGGATCTGATTTTCCAAATATCGGAAATGTTTGCCGTAATGTGTCGGAACATCATTATAATACGCCATGGGCGATCGAAGTCACCGCGATCTCAATCGTTGGAGATACGTTTTTTTAACCGTCGGAATTGATCGAAATCGTACGCCATGTTACTTTTCGATAGGAACGCAAATTCGTGACTACCGCCAGGTACATATTTCTTCTATACGTTTAGCTTATATGTACATTATACACATGTATATTTGTATGTAATCTCTTTTTTTTTGCAAATCATGCTGATTATATATTTTGAGATTATTGTTTCAAATATCTAATGTTAATGCGTGATTACTTTCAGAATTCAATCGCGCGCGATTTATTATTTATTATATTATACCATGTCATCTATGTATTTTCCTGGAAAATTAAAACGCTAAAAACATAGAAAGCTTGAAAGATCGTTCGTTTCTGAAAATATTTTATTCGCGATGAAATCGTCTTCTAAAGGCAATGGGTTAATCGTACTCTAATTAATTGATTGTCGATCAGTTCAATTGGCGAATCACAAATTTCTAGGTGTGTGAGTGTGTGTGTGCGTGCGTGCGTGTGTGTGTGTGTGGTGTGCGCGCGCGTGCGTGTGCGTGTCGTGTGTATGTGTGTACGCGTATGCGTGTACGTGTGTGTATGCGAATAATAGAAAGTCGATAATTCTATTTATCTCAATAAAATAGTGTAGGTATTATTTGAAGCTGATCGCTGATAAGTTAATTGGAACTATCGAGGACGCCCAAGAAGATACGCGTAGAAAAGTAGAAAGTTCGCCTGATTCGCCATGAACATGGCGCCAAAGAGAGAGTCAGGGCTCTCACCAGTGTCTCCGTCACTCGCGAATTTCCCCCAGGGACCCCAGACTCCCAGACCCAGACATCTCCTGATCTTCCCTAGCGGCGCGCGCTTGTGGCGGCGCGGCATTCGCGCGTGTCTTGTGCAGTTGGCGCGACGTCGCGTCGGCTGCTTCGGGAAGTTTCGGCCAATCGGGCAGCTCCGTTCGGCGCACGATCGGTGCAGTTGATAAATGGAGGATCCGTGTTTGTCAAGGTAGTTTTGTTTACGCGGAAATTTTCACTCGGTAACAACTCCCCGTGCGTCTCGTTTGTGCGGAAGGGGTAGATGAAGGTACGTAACGATCGTCGCGCGTATGAAAATGCCGCTCTCGGCGGCCACCGTCACGTCTACGGTGTGGAAATTGGTGGAACGCGTCGGCTCGTCCTCGCGAGCGTACAGGCCCTCTCGGGCAGGATGAGTGGTTGACGGTGAAAAAATTCGCCACCGCCTAGCGAAATTTGCACCCACGTGCGACCGGACCGTCCCCGGTTGGTCCGTCATCGCATTTCGCGTCGAAATCGTCGAGTTTCTGGCTCGTCCGGCCGGAGTGGCTCGCGAAAACCTTGTTTCACCGTCATAGGTTATGAGCTTGTATCTGATGTGCCTGTCGTGCGGAACAAACAAAATCCGTTTTCTTATGATCAACATCGTTCTCCTGCACTAATTTTGCGAGTTCGAGAGGTCTGCTCGTGCCCGATATGAAGTTAGAGTCACAAGTTGCTACATTTTCTGTTCTCTTTTCTATGAGACTGAGGCACAAGCCTGGTTGTTCTAATTGACTGATCATATCAAGAATATTAATCCAACTACGTTGATCCTGTTATATATCTTAGATACACATCTTTTCTTTTTTAATTTCTTCAAAATAATATAGTCTACATACACTAGTATCTAATATGCTGTATCAAGATATGGGAATCTTTACGTCAACTGTTTAAATTTTAATAAATGATACTTGTAGCAATGTGAAATAACTTCTTTAAAGATCCTTTTATTTTACCGTCATATAAAAAATTGTATCTGAGAGATGTGCTTTGACGTGTGACATTAAAACTGCAACAGATCACAAATATAGTATTTCTACTTTAACAAGTCTTTTGTTCTTTTTTTTTTAGAATTTAAGATGTCCCGCAATCACAAGGAAAAGTATGAGAACTCCAACCCGCGTCGTATGTATACACTCATGTGCCCTGAGGACTATCAATCGGGGAAGAAATCTCATTGGTCGGAGTTGGAGATAACAGGCAGTATACGAAATTTGAGCCCCAATTTGTGGCAAATGACTCATCTAACAGCTCTGTATCTGAATGATAATAGTCTGCAAAGGTTGCCATCTGAGATCGGCCGTCTTGTTAGCTTGCGTATTCTAGATCTGAGTAGCAATAAGCTGCGCAGTCTGCCTGCTGAAACAGAAAGTATAATGAGAAACATTTACTTCAATAATGAGCTTATTCAATAGATCTTTTCTTTTTTATGGTATAAATTTGTTATTATATTGTTCCAGGGAGTTGTTATTGAACCAAAACTTCCTTCGCGTGTTACCATACGAACTAGGGAAGTTGTTCCAGTTACAAGTGCTAGGACTTCAAGGAAATCCACTCAGCAAGGATGTGATGGCGTTATATGGAAATGGAGAACCTACGGGGACGAACAAGCTGCTGACGTACATGTTGGACAACTTACAAGGTAAGTGGAAGGCTTTTATTTGTTGAGTGAGTTTTCGAAGACATTTGAATCTCTTCCCATAAAATTTCTTTTACGTATTTTCTATTCTGTTAAAGTAGTAAGACATGCACCATCTGCTTGATAATAATGATAATAAATATTGAGAGAGCAAAGTATCCAAATGATTATAAAAATTAAGAATTTAGAAGAAAAATTTCTTCTCAAAGAGTTTAAACTTATTTGATTTATAATTTCACAAATAAAATGATTTAATTGTAATCTTTTAAATATAATAAATCGGCATGATTTGATGCACACACATGTATTCACATAGCATCCAAGAAATCAATATCGAATGGTCTTTTCTATTTATATTTGCAATGTTTTTTTTCTATTTGTGCTGAAATCGTGTATGGTCGTCGGTATAAAAAGCGACTGTTTTATCTACGTGACATTCGACATATTCTCATAACAGTTTAATGTCGTTTGTGACAGATGACGCCACGTATCTCATTTAGATGCTTAAGAAAAGCTTAAAAAATTATTTAAATCTTCTGATTTTTATAATTTACATATAATGTTACATTTGTGTGTGCGTATTAATATCAATTTCATGATAATATATTCTTATTAAAGTTAGAAAAAAAATTCTTTTTGGAAAATATGTAAAGGAAGTTTATATTTCTTACTTGAATTAAAGTCTAGAATGTAATTAGTTTAAAAGATATTTATGTATAAAAAATATCTTGTCAAAATAGATAATATTGATGTGAGATTAATTTTTCTAAGAAAATAATTAGAAAAAAGCCAATAATGTTCCGTAAATGTTTAGAGACCTTTGCAGTACTTCCAAACTTTATAAACGCTTCTTTGAATATCAGATTAGTCTTTATCAAAAGAAAATCTAATTATCATCGGATAAGCGAGCATTAATCTTTCGATTTTTTCTTTTTTACGCTCAAATGGGTGGATGGGTGGGTGGACGATTCAGCTTGAGTTTACGCTCCATGGAAAACGAATGTTCATGAGAAGGAGCCGCGATTAGAGAAAGAGGTGGGGGAGGGAGAGGGAGAGGGGAGAGAGAGAGAGAGAGAGAGAGAGAGAGAGAGAGAGAGAGAGAGAGAGAGAGAGAGGAGAGACTCGTCGGAGGGCGTGATCCTATCCATTGTGTTGTGCGCATTTTTGCCGGTTACCCGATCGCCTGAAAGGTCTCGGCTGTACCATTCCGTTTATCCATTGTTCTCTGGAACTTTTACTGTCTGATACCGCAATACCACCGTATATCGTTGCCAGTCATTTCCCCTTCGTCGCTCCTCCGCGGCATCGAGATGTTCTTGCTCGTCATCCTCTTCGTCTTTCCCCTATCCCTCCCCAAGTCTACTCGGCTCTTCTCTTCCTCTTCTTTTTTTCATTTCGTATGGAGTCACCCTCTTATCTGAAATCACGCAGAAAGCATCTGAATTTCACCGTTGTCAAACATGTCTTGTACACCTGTCTTCGTCGGGATGATCTCGTTTCCGTATGTTGTGTGAGATGAGTGATGGTACGCATTCGAAAAGGATAAGTTGGGAATTTCTGTTGGAAAATTCGGCATTGCGAATACACATTGTCGAGATGAATTAAATAAAGAGTTTATATAAGTAAATTTAGTTAAAAATCGAGATTTATTAGATTGACTTATATAATACTTTTTATTTCTTAGATGCATAATTCTCATCTTCAATACATAATTCTCTCGTCATGAAACTTTTCGCTTTTCCGATTATTACAGGATAAATAATATTAAAATTAATACATGTTTTGGACATAATCTGTTAATATATTAGGTGTTGGAATTAATTCGTAGCGTTTTTTAATGAAAGAATGTTATTTATTTCACATGAGCATTAAAAAATACATTAATGAAAGTACTTCCCATCACTTGTAAAACGCTACGAATTAATTCCAACACCTAATATATATTGCAGATATAGAATTATATTAGATTGAAAGAGGCAACTATTATAAAATCGAGGAACGTTTGAGATGATCTTTTAATTTATTATTCATAAATTTATCATTCATAAAATTTAATACAAAGTATTATAATTTTTATAGGTCCCTCATGAAAAAGTTAAAACGTTCTATAAATTTTTATAGTACGCGTATAGCTCATAATTCGTGACAGCTTAAGAACGAACTTGAACTAAGAACATTTAATATTAATGGTCTGGTATTTAGTGGCTGGGTCGAAGGGGTTAAAACTCGCTCGTAAAAACGGCGGTTCCTTCCCCTAACGGTTAACGGGGTATCTCTCATATAAGGTTGCATGCAAATTTGTTTGCCTTTGAACGTACGCATATACATGGCAGAGTTCGCGCATTGTTACGCGTAGTTTTCCGCGAGATCAGCTGAATACGAGTGTGTGAAAGTGCATACACGATGATTTATATAGACGTATTTGGCAGAGCACCGCTGCGTTGTGGGAGCCCAGAGTCCCGGAAACAAATTTATGCACATTGTATCAGCGAGGATCTCTCGACGGCATCGTTGTCACGACTTCCCAGAAGTAACGTGACTACAATTGCGCCATAATTGGCCTAAGTGTGCCCATTGTGTTCGTGTCACTTGCGTGTCGCCTACAGGTGTCTCCTCCACTTTGTTGTGTCTCGCGATTTATGTTCATCGAATTGCGAAACATCGGAGACCAGTTGCTTGCATCGAAGTATCTTTTTGTACTGTCTTCGTCTATTTTCTATTTATATTTCGCAATGATTTATTGTAAGTAAAAACCTTCAATGTCATCATCAGGTAATTGGAACAATTTTTTATGGATATAAATAAGAGATTTATCTATATTATAAACAAAAAAGAGTTATTAGAAATTTTTTAATACGATTACCTGAAGTCCAATGAAGTTTTTTTTAACATTTATGAGCGAGTTATTCTACGTTAAAAATCTTTTATTTAATCTTTTTCCTTTTATTTTTTTGTTATATAATATATCGATTAATATTTAAGTTTAGTACATACATATATATTCAGGGTCATATTTATAGCTGTCTGATAACATTTGTGTAACGAAAATAATTCTGCTTTCTTGGGTTGAAAGGAAACCGGGTCTCGCGCCAGCGGGCCCAGTGAAAGGGGTCTTTGGACCCTCCGAAAAAGAAAATTGTTATCCGCGATTCACTTGGCTGCCCGCGGCCCATCGAGTCATCTCACCGTGTAATTACACAGGGGCCCGATCCGGGATAATTGAGGACGAAACTGAGGGGAGAAAGTGAACCGCCGTCACTTCGCGTATACGGCATGATTCATTCGTTATTCGGCGCTTACGGTGTGTACACACGCAAGGAGATGGGCCCAAACAGGTCCATAACTAGGGCGTAACGAAGATGGCACCTGCTGCGATTGCATAACTCCATCGGGGCGCCAATCTGTCGATAGCATTTTGATCTTAATATAATACAATTTTATGAGAATGCTATATACGATTATGTACTATATATTTTATAATGTTAGTTGCATATAAATATTCAACAATATAAAGTAAATATAATAGCATGATCTACAAAGAGAACTATTTCTTAATTAACTGTTGAAAAGAGTCAGGGTTTGATTGCCATACTTTGTGTGTTGTAGTTGATTTTATTTTTGAATATATTATGCTTTTGAAAACTTTATTTAAATTTATGTCCGTCATGGGCTCTGTCACAAAAAGAGAGAGAGAGATTGAAATGACACTGGGCTTCTATTTTTAAAAAGTATCGTGTACAAAAAACTAGGGAAATGCTATAGTATATACGTAAAGCATATTATAATATTTCCTTAGTTTTTGGTATGCGATATTTTTCAAGAATAGAGGCCCTGATCTCGACTTTGAAAGCAAACACGAGCATGAATTGCAATTGCACGCTCTAACAATTCGTATTACTTGGATGTCCTCATTAACTCATATTCGTCTACTTTTTCCTCGTGCATGGAGGTGTGATTCAAGTATCGTGTTTCTTTAAAAAGATAAGCTTTTTTAAATAAAAAAAGAGCTCAATTCCGACGTCACGGTAATAAATAAACCTTCGTAACGTTGGTAAATGAGAGCTTTCATAAAATTAAGTAAACGTTAAGGACCTCAGATTAAAAAGAGATTTACATTGTCCTTTGACACAGCTGGGTTTATTAAGAATCGTCGCTGCAAAAGTTACTGCAAGCGGTGTATAATTATTTTCGTATTTCCACGTAAAGCTAGAAATATATTTGTTTCCTTAGTTTATTTTCGTGTAATTTTGAACTTAATATGAAACATTGTTGAAGAAGACGTAATACTTTGCGAATCCATTTTTTCTTAAGGGAAGATTAATTTAGAAGAACGTGATATTTTTTGTCAAAGCGTGGGTTTAAATTATAGGACATTCTACTCTGTCATCGTTACGCTATTTTAATCCTTATAGAAACAGTGAGTATAATGGCACGTCCATGAAATAAATTCGTCACTGTTTCCGTTATGAAAAGGAAAGCATTTGACGTGAAAGTAATTGAAAGTAGCGTTACTGGTACGTATTGTTTTAGGTCATCGATTAATATTTCAAAGTCACGCGTACTCCTCCGGACATGAGTCATGTATAAATCCGAGAAAGTTTCAAATCATTTTCACATGGTACTTAAAGTCAACTATATTTTTTGAATGCATTATTAGAAGTTACAAAATTATTTTATCATAATACAGATATTTTATCGATCCGACAACTTTTTATTATCCAACTTTTTTTTTATTATGTATTATTAACTATTGTAATTATTTATTGTTATAATATACTATTTGCTGTTAACGCGCAGTTTGTATATTAAATAATTAGATTTACTATTCGACTTTTATTTTTGAGACAATTTGATATTCGCTCTGTTCTATATATATCTGTTCTATATATTCTTTTTTAATTTGTTAGGTCTCTTAGTATACGCAAATGACTGCTTGTATTTCAGTTCATGTTTATCCATTGTTTGTCATGTTTGTCCTTCGATTATACTGTTTGTCGTAGAAT